CTATGATGCTGACAAGTCCATTCTCTTTGCCCCTCTTTGCTTGAAAGGTTTTATCACACACACGCACGCGCACACACACACACACACACACACACACACACACACACACACCGTACATGCACACCCACAGACACAGTTCAGCACAGTTCAGGCTGGGCAAGGGGTAGGGGAAGATTCCACCTGCCTTTGAGGCCCTGTTCTTAGCCTGGAGACCAGGCCCAGGTCATGAGGAGCTGCAGAGGTTCTTGAGGAGAGGAGAGAAGCAGAGTTGGTTCCAGTCTAAGCTTGCAGATGAGCAAGCCCAGGTAGGCAGGAGAGTGGGAAGCAGGGAAGCAGGGAGGGGGAGGGTGCCAGAGAGCTTGGGGCCCAGGCCTACCCACACCTCTGGTCAAACAGTTTTTACCTATGCAAAAAGAGGTTCCTCCTGCCTGGAGCAAGCCAGAACTGCCCGTTCAGCCACTGCTTACCACACCCTGCCTCCCCAGACCTAGGTGCCAAGAGCCAAAGAATAAATCATATAGCCCACTTAGGTTCCTGCCCTGCTCCAACCAAGGACTCAAGGTGCCCTGTTCCAACCCCCGCTGCACTAGTCTCCACAAGTCAGGCTACCAGGAGTTGGTAGTCAGGAGGGCCTGCAGTACTCCTGTCCCCCAAAACCCTTCCTCCTAGGAAGTCCACTCCTTCTCTGGGCCTCTGTGCTGCTTTGCTCCTGTGGATAATATAAACTCATAATTCACATTTCCCTTTTCACTTTGACCACCAGGAAGCACAGCACAGCATCCTACTACTGTGTGTCCATGTTCTGATGTCCCAAGTCTTTAATCTGTTAAAGTTTATCCTTCCCTGTCTCAGACTGTCTATCTTAATGTCACATACATCCCCTTTAAAGCCCTCACAAATACACAATGGCACAAAATGGGTATAAATATTACTAAATATATGGGCTAGGGGGATGGCCCAGTGGGTAAAGTGCTTGTTGCACAGGCACAAACATCTGAGTTCAGATCCCCAACACCCACATAAAAGCTGTGCATAGCAGTGCATGCCTGTAACCCAAGCTTTAAGTGGGGCAGCGACAACTGGATCTTGGGGGCTCCCTGGCCTGATATTTGGGGCAAGGGTTGAGGTGAATGGGAGAGAGCCACAGCAGTCTCCACCCCGTCCCTCTTAGTTTGGTGTCTAGTTACACACAAGACCAAGGAGCACCCCTGCTCCCATCTTAGAATATTCTATAGCCCTGAAAATAACTCTGACAACTTCATCTAGAACTCACCGAGTGTGCATTATACATCAGGTGTCTCATGTGGGTATCACATGCATGCTCACCCTTGCATGGGTGGTGAAGCTGCAAGGAGGCACTCTCCCAGATGCAGCCCCTCCACCTTGGACTTCTAAACTCTAGAACTGTAAAAAATAAACTTCTCTTTCTAAAGTACCCAGTCCCTGGGACAGTCTGTGGAATAGTGTCACTAAGTGGACTAAGACAGGAAGTTAGTGCTGGAGCAGTTGTGTCACCCTGACAGACCTGAGTGAGATAGGGATACAGCTTTGGGACTGGAGGTAGGGAAAGGCTACATGGGTTTGGGGAAGCAGGCCAGGAAAAGCCTGTATTGCCATGAGGAGAGACTTGACGGTAGTTCTGGTGAGCGCTCAGGAGAGGAGCAGAGCTGAGGAAAAGCAAGTGCTCCATATGGATGAACTGAGTATTACACACTGCAGAATGCGGGTGGCAAGGGCCAGGCTGCTGGGATATCAACAGATCGGGGAAGTACTGCTGGGGCTGGGGAAAAGGCATCCTGGCTCCAGTGTGAGGACTTAGAACATCCATGTGTTAGGACTTCCTTGGAGGTGGGTATAAGGGCAATAGACTAGGACACCTGGCAGAAGAAATAAGGACATCATCCAGTGTTCCACAGCTTCTTCTAGTTCATGCAGAAAAAAAGAGAGGAGAGGTGATGGAAAGACAGAACTGATCGATCAGAAGGAAGCACAGGTAAACTTGAGAATCTTCAGGCTGGTCTGTGAAGAATGGAAAAGACTGTTTGGGAGAGAGTGCTTTGAGGGCATGGCCACGTGATTATGTGAGACTGTTAGGGGCAGAGGGGACTGGGCTGTGCTCCTGGAGACCACAGGGACCTTGAGGGCCTACAGGACCCCAGCAATCACCTCACTACCTGCACCACCTCATGACTCTGCTCCCAAAATCCAGTATGACCCCACTGACTGCCCCAGCCATGGCTCAGGTGGGCCCAAGTATGGCTCAACCTGCCACTCTAGAAGACACAAGCCATCAGCCTTGGCAGCATACATGTGGTGCTAATTCTGCAGGCATGTGGAATGCAAAATCTATGGGGCCATTCTAAGGATGCTATAGACAGCATGGGGACCCAGGCAGAGATCAGTCACAGAGGCAAAGCCCCCCAGTGACCTCCCACTCAGGCAATACCTATTGGAGAAGTGGAGGTTTCTCTGCCCCTCCCCCTAGAATCTCCAGGCCAGGAAACTGCAGATATGAGATGCCAACCTGAGGGTCGCTGGCTGGACAGAGCCCAGCAAAGTCATCAGCACAGAGCTCCCTGAGGTCTTGGGGTTTGGGAGGCAACCCCTGCCCCCAGCATGGCCAGGATGTGTGTGGCACATGACATCAAAAGAGATTTCAGTCCAGCTTGAAGACAGAATGCTGATTTCCTAGCTGTTTGAGGGCTTCCCTGTGCTCATCTTTCCCTTTGGTGTTGTATCCATTTGAGGCCTGGCTTCCACTTTGGAAGTGGGTTACTTGTTTGGTTTCCCAGGCTCAGGGCTGGAATGGATTGCCTCAGGATGGCTGTGCCCTCTGTCTCATCTGTATTTCACTCAGATGACAACTCTGGACTTTGTACTTTGGAGGTGGTATGGGAAAAAATTAAGGCTTTGGGGCTCTTGGGAAGGAGGAAAGGTACAAATGAGAAGAACATGAATTTGGAAATCCAGGGAGGAATGTTGTAACTCAAACGTGTCTCTAAAGTTCCTGTGCTGGCAATGGTCCCCAGAGCAACAGTATGGAGAGTTGGAGACTTTGAGAGGTGACAGCCTTAAGGATTCCTGCCCTTCTGGCTTCTCCCATGGGCTGGCATAGCAGAAGACCCTTACCTTGGTGTTTTGTTTTGTTTTGTTTTGTAGTGCTGGGGATTAAATCCAGGGCCCACACATGCTAAGCAAGTATTCTACCATTGAGCTATATCCCCAGCCTCCAGGCTCCTTCATTTTTTATCTTCTAGTCTCCGGAACTACTGAAAATAGATTTCCTTTTCTTTTCCTTTTGCCTTCCTTTATTTACTTATTTTTTGTGTGTGGTGCTAGGAATTAACATAGGGCCTCACACGTAACAAGTAATTCATCTACTGAGCTGTATCCACAGTTCTTTCACTGTTATTTTGAGACCCTATATTGCCCAGACTGACACTGAACTCACTGAGTAGCCCAGGCAGGCTTTGACTTTGTGATGTTCCTGCCTCAGACTCTCAAGTAACTATGATTACAGGTCTGTGACAGCAGGCACAACTACATTCCTTTCTTGATGAATAATGTAGTCTCAAACCGGGAAGATTGCTCAGTGAGTAGAGTGCTTGCTATGCAAGCATGAGGACCTGAGGGGACCTGAATTTGGATCCCTAGCACCCATGTAAGAGCTGGACACAGCCATTCATGTCTGTAATCCTAGCACTGGGGATGGAGACAGACATATCCCAGAAGCTCATTGAGTAGCCAGTCTAGCCAAAATAGTGAGCTCCAAGTTCAGTGAGAGACCCTGCCTCAAAAATAAGGTGGACTGTGAACAGGGAAGACAGCCAACATCAACCTCTGACCTCCACATGTGTGGATGCATGTACCTGCACAAACACATATACACACACACTACCTAGTCTCTAGCATTCTGATATTGGTTCACTAAGTTGATTAACAGTCTCCTAACAGCACTGCAAACTGGATCCTCATGTCATTATCCTTTTGCAGATGGAGAAACTGAGGCAGAAAGTTTAAGTTATGTCTGAGGACACATAGCTGGTTAGTGTTAGAGCTGGACTTTACACCAAGCTCTGAGATGCCACAGACCAGGCTCTTAGCATCTACTTCACTACCTCTAGGACTTAGGTCTAGTACAGGGGCTGAGCCTGCCTCTGCCTGTTTATACCTCCTGGCTCTCCATTCTCTCCAGATGCATAAGTAGGCCCCAGGCCTGGGGTGGAATGAGACATATTTACTCCACATGCAGCAGTAAAGGGACTAGCTGCCAAGAGTGTCACTAGATATTCTGGAATAGCAGGACAAGGGAATAAATGACAGACTAGCTTCAGAGGGTCCCAAGGCCCTTCTGAGTCTCAGCCTCCACATCTGTAACATGGGCTGGAAAGGGCCTGTGGCAGGTTGAACTATCATAATGGGTACTGACTGTCTTTCTGGAACATGACCACAGCAAAGCTGAAAATGGTGGCTGGGGCTGGGTTCTGACTCCTCAGTGCCTTGAAGGGCTCTCTAGAGGCTGCCCAAGGGGCAAAACCAGAGCTGGACCCCAGTGGGCCTTTCCCCACCATCAGGCCAGCTGTGTGACCTTGGTTACTCTGCCTTCTGGCCTCAATTTCCTCTGCTGCAGAAAGAAGGTAATAGGAGAGTGACCGTTTGCCATGCTTGGCACGCAATATCTTAGCCATAACTATTTTATTTATCCTAGAGTATCTTTCAGCCTCTTCAGGGTACCCTCCCTCCTGGTGGGCAGGTGGTGAGGGCCTGGGCAGAGGGAGAAGAAATAGGTACAGAGAAAGCAGGCAGAGCCCAGGCACCAGGTTAAGCTGTGGGAGCTGCCCAGGGCTCAGCTCACACTGTAAGAGACAGAAGAAAGCTGCCCACTGCTCAGAGTTTCCCACTGAGGAGGATCAACATACACATGCACACATATATCCATCCCAGCCCTGTCTCAGACAGCCAGAGCCAAAATAAAAGCTGTATTTAATCTCGGGGCTCACCTCAGGCACAGGACATGAGTAGCTTTGATCCTTTCTGCAGTTGGGGTCAGCACACATTCCCCATGTGAGCTTCCAATGTGCACATGGAAACATCCACCTTTCATGGGAAGAAATGATGCCAGGAGTGTGAAGAGCCGAGGCTGGGTGGTATGTGGAATATATCATACCCCTCTTCTTCCTCCTCCCACCCTCCTCCATGGACCAGGCCTCTCATCCCCACCCCAGCATCACCAGGGAGGCTTCCTTGTGCACAGGAAAGGCGGCCTCCTCATCTCACTGCTCAGAGACACAATCCTTCTGTGCCACCTCCACCCTAGCAGCTGAGGACACCTATCTCTGAAGGAGGGACAAACACTGTCCAACCTTATACCCATGTCATTCCTCCCCAGGAGTGCTCCAGGAAGCATTCCAGCAATTAACATCTAGAGGAAGGCAAAGGGGACTGAGTCACCTCCCCCACCCAAACTACAGGGCCCAGTGTGGAGGACCACGTATCACTCACTCCTACCTCAACTGATCCTGCTGCCCACCTACCCAAGGGAGCCATAGCCACCAACACTGTTAGGGACAGCAACTCTGTTGCCGAGGCACCCATTGCATGCATCACGGAAGCACAGAGATGCTAGGAAATGTACCCAGGGCCACACACTCCCAGGTGGAGAGAGTACAAAGCCAGGCAGTTGGGCCCAACGCCTGAGTGCCTCTTCTAGGCTGCACAGCTCGGTCTCCCTCCAGCCCCCCACCAGGATCTTGGAAAAGCTCAACCCTGAGATCTGGCAGGAAAGGACAATAGGTCTCCCTGCTGGGATGGGCAAACTGAGGTGAAAACCAAAAAGGAGAAAGCAGTATTTGAAGCAGACAAAAAATAAACTTTTAAAGCTAAAAATGTAGCTCACTGGCCTGACACCCCACCCCCACCACTCTGTTCCTGTTGAAGCAAAGAGGGTAGCTCTACCTCAGGTCAGCAGCTCAGGCCCACACCAAGAGTCACACTAGGAAACTCAGGCATCAAGGATGAGGTCAAGGGTGCCCAGCAACCCCAAGAGCCCAAGACCCTACCCCCAGGCCTCCTGGGCTCTGCTGCCTCTTCCAAATACCCTTCGGTTACAACCCTCACACTCTGGTTCCCTCAGATAGATGTCCATTTGTGGTACCCAGGTGTGGCTTTACCCAAGACACAGCACTGTCCAAGGCTGGCACAACTCGTGCCCAAGCTTGACTGCAGAGGGAGCCCACATGCCCCATGTGATCCACACTTTTTCCTCTTGCCCTGCCAGATGCTGCTGTAACCACTCCTGGATTTTCCTAGCACCTTTTCCCAGACTCCCTGGTTCCCAGCACACAAGAGTTGGCTCAGTCCAACACACACATTCCCTCAATCCCCAAGTTTCACAGGGCCAGCCCATAAGCCATTCAAAAGCCATATCCAATGGTGCTGACAGCCCTTCCCACCCACCCTGTCATCCCTATGGTCTTGAACCCACCCTTTCTTTGTCCTCCAACCTCAAACAGCATCCCTGCCACTGAATCCCACACATCTGTGGGTTCCCCAAGTCACCACCCCTGCCCATTTCCATTCCTCCCCATGCATAGTGGCCACTACCAGCCCCTCTGGGGACAATGCCTGCAGCTTGAGCTCACAGAACCAAATTGGGCTGGGGCCACTCAGCTACTACAGGAAGGGACATCAAGGGTGGTGACGGAGGGTGGCCTCTCAAAGAAGGCACACTACAGCAGGGGGACTGGCAGGGCCCAAATGCAGAGGAGAGGCAAGTGGGTCACATCCAAGAAGAACAGAAGTGCCCCACTGACTATGGCCTCTTGGTCTCCACATGCATTCCCACTGTCTCTACAATCTGACAGCCACCTTACATCTCCAGGTCACGGGCAGACCCTGGGACCTGGAGTGGGAACCCGGGCTACAGTCCACCTCACCATAGGGATCCACCCCACCCAATCAGCTTCAGCTCTCCTGTCTCTATGCAGGGAACAAACTGCTCCTTCCTATGGTCGTATAGTTGTTGTTGCTAAGATGAATGAGCTAATTAAAGTCTGGAAAGGTTTCGTGAAGACTTAAAAAGAGGTGATAGAGCATGGCAAATTAATAACAATTACTGTCCTTCCTCCAGGCAGGCTGCCTGGATCCCATCCATGAAGTCATCATCTTCTCTCTAAAGTGACAGAGTAGTTGTGCAGGCCCTGGTAGAGGGCTCAGCAGCTGAGGGCTGTACTTGCTCCTGGCCCTCGGGGTCTTCACTGTTTCCCACACCTCTACTGGTTAGTAACTTGTATGTGTTTCATGCGTTTATTGAACACCAACTGTGTACATGGCCTTCCCTATACGGAGCAACACCCTAGAGGTTCAACTTTCAGAAGCCCTCTTTGACAGATGAGATAATGAGGGAGAGGAGTGTCTCACAGAAGGTGATGTCTGACCCTTGGCTCATGACCTCAGTCACTCCTGCCAGACTCGGGAAAGGCACACCATCACCTCACTCCATAGCCTCTCCTGCTCACTTCCCCCATGGAAGCAAGACTGACTCAGCAGACACACTCAGGCCCTGATGGGATTAAAATCCAAAGTCTGCAGGAGTGTCTTGATCATACCTCCCCAGAACTGAACTCAGAAGGCTCTGAGGACTGGGGGGTGGAAGGGGAGACTGAGCAGAAGATGCATGTCTGCCCTAAGACTACTGGCTTTGCCTCACCCACACCCAATAGTGTTCCCTGGGCACAGGAATGGGATCCTCAAAGTGCTTACTCATCTTAGCACAAAACACCCCCAAAGCCAGCTCCCAACCAACCAGACAACCCCCATCCCTAACCTCCACAGGTGAACCTACTTCACCTGGCAACCCAAAACTCTGCTTAATAAAGGGCCTGCTGCTGCTGATGCCTAGGCCAGGCACCCAGAGTCAGCAGCAGCAGACCATGAACCACTTTCCCATCCCCTACCAAGCTGATTCCCCAAACCTTGCCCCCTTCTTCATTCAGTGACCCAACAAAATGCTTCTACCCCCAAACATGGCTAAGGAAGGAAAGGGAAGTTTCAGAAGCTGGAAGAAGAAGAACAACAGCAGAGAGGGGCCTGTACCCTCGGCTGGCCTCATGCACCTCACAGTGGACTGCTTACCTTTCTCGGGCTGTGCTCTGGACTCAGGGCTCCTCAGCAGGACTCCTACAGAGAAACAGCAGGGAAGAGGTGAAGGGACACTCCAACCTGTGCAATCAGCCCCATCCAACTCTCTGTTCAGTCTATGGGCTGGTGCAGACCTGGAAGACTTCCTGGAGGAGATAAAAAACCTAAATTGCCATCTTTTTGCAGAGGATTGTCTTATTACACAAGTACAGAAATACATAGAAGTTTTCTCTTTATAAAAGCTTCAAATACAGAAGTCTGTAAACGCACTCCTGCTCCAGGCCACTTCTCAGAAGTCCAGAGTGCCCTCTGGGATAAGTGTGGTCATATGTACACTGTACATTTGTACAGAGAGGCACGCACAGGGAATACAGCAGGGCACACAGCTCCTGTGTTCCTCCACAATGGATTCGAGATCTTTCCATGTCCTCAGAGAGCAACAATTATTGCTTGTACTAAGTACCTACTGTGTGCTAGACAAGCAGACTGAATGCTCCACATGTTAACATGGTTCTTCAGAGCATGACTCTGACCTGGTACTACTTTGGTCCTCATTCTGTAGAGGAGACTGAGGTGCAGAATGGGTGGTCAGTGAGCTGCACAAGAGTTCTTATGGGACAGGCAAGGAGAGCTCTGCACATGCTATGCAGTACTCTTCCACATGGGGGCACCCCCCCCAGATGAACAGAACCCCAAGGGCATGTGCTTAGAGGGTTCTAATTTTTTGTTTCAGAAGTATTACTGGAAAAAAATACCACCTCTTTGTGTACATATGTAAGTATTTCTCTGGGTACATTCCTGAAGGATAGAGCAAAGGGCATATACAATTTAAATTTTGCTACTTGCTGTCAAAATGCCCTCCAAAAACATCTGTGCTGGTGTGCTATAATAAAAATAGTAGCCAGGCGTGGTGGCACACGCCTGTAGTCCCAACACTTGGGAGGCAGAGGCAGGTGGATCTCTGTGAGTTCAAGGCCAGCCTGGTCTACATAGTGAGTTCCAGGACAGCTGGGGCTTACAGGGAGACCCTGCTTCAAAAAACTCTGGGGGCAGAGGCAGGTGGATCTCTGTGAGTTCAAGGCCAGCCTGGTCTTCATAGCGAGTTCCAGGCCAGTTGGGGCTACAGGGAGACCTTGTCTCAAAAAATAAAAATAATAAGGTAGAGAGCACTTAAGGAAGACACCAGACATACTGGACGACCCCAGAAAAACAAAAATGACTCAGCATTAAAAAATCTATAATGGAATTTCTCATTAAAAATAGGTCAAACTGGCCAGGCATGGTGGCACAAGCCTTTAATCCCAGCACCCAGGAGGTAGAGGCAGGCAGACCTCTGTGAGATGAGGCCAATCTGTGTCTCCACAGTGAATCCATGCCAGCTGTGACTACAGGGAGACCCTGTCTCAAGTCTTAAAAAAAACCAAAAAAAAAAAAAAAAAAAACCCTATTCACTGAGCAGCAGCAATTAGGCACCAAATCCAGTAACATGGGGATGGCATCTCTGTTTTTGCATAATAGGAAATGGAGGATCAGAGAGATCAAGTCACTTATCCAAAGTCACAAAGCATCCTAAACTGCCACAGTATCATGAAAAGAGAGTTACAAGGGAGGAAGGGAGGGGCAGAGGGAGAGAGGGAAGGAGGGAGAGAAGACTCTTGACTCAGTTCTTCTTTTCTTAAGATCCATCCTAGCTAGTGTCTCTCCAGCTCTCTCTGCAGCTGGGCTCCTGTCCTCACCTCTCCACTAGATGGTCTTATCAAGATGCCCAGAATTTCAATTTGGCAAAATCAGTGGTCATTCTCTGGGCCCTGGTCCCCCAGATCTGGGCAGCATCTGACATGCTGATTGATAGCTTCTACCCTGGGAATATGCTTGCCTCTGGCCTCCCAGAACAGGCCTCCCCTGGCCATTCTCCCTCCAAATAGAGTTCACAACACTCAGACACTCTTCTCTCTCCTGACCACTCATTCCTTCAATTTCACAGTTTTGGACTTCATACCCAGCTCTGCTCTCAGCTCCCTCATGCTTAACCCCACTCCCTCCTGAGCATAGCTCTGGAGCCAGAGGCTGATTTGTCATCTCCACTTATTCCTCTAACAGACCTGTCCAACACAGAACTCTTCATCTTTAACCCAAAATTACATTTTGCTCAGCCTTGACTCCTCTTTATCCCATACCAACAGCCAAGGTATCACCAGGCACTGTCTGCTTTGTTCTTCAAACACATCCAGACCCAGACTACTCAGCCACCTTCCACCCCACTCTGCTCCTGCGTTGCTGGATTAGGCTCCCCATGTCCACAACAGCCCAGACTAGCACAGCAGCATCAGGATGTCCAAAGGCTGCCCTACATCAATAATCTCCTCCTGAAGCCCCCAAGGCCCTCAGAAATCCCCTCCCACTATCATAGCGTCCTTCTGGCCTGGCCAGCTAACCTGGTTGTCTACTCCTGGCAGAAAGTCCCTCCCACTCTGATGGAGTCTCCTTTCTTCCCTTCCTGGCCCTGGGTAAAATGCCCTGTCACTCCAACAACTCACTTTCATAGCATTTACCTGCTCCTGACCTTGCCCTGCCTGTGTATATGTGTTCCTGTTCCTTGTCTGTCTCCCCTTAACATAGACCTCAAGAAGCACTGTAGGACTTTGGCCACCTTGGCCACCTTGGCCAGCTCTGAACTGCTGTGTGCACTGTGTGGGGCCAAGTAGATGCTTAGGAACTATTTGAATGAATTAGTGAGTGAATGCATGAATGAGCAGAGCCAGCTCTCCCTGTGTTCTTCCTTGCTGCAGAAGCAGCCTTCTGTGGGAAGTGGAAAGTAACCACAGGGCACCTTCATAGGGTCAGGACACTGGGCACAGGCCAGGCAGTGGCACAGGCAGAACAGTGGGCCCCATAGGGCACCAGTGGGGCCTGCAGCATCCCAGGGATGCCATGCTCAGCAGCCCTAACCAAGGGGCATGTGGAGCTCTCACACCTGCCAACCCGCCCCACTCAGGAGGGAGCCTTGGGGCAGCCAGCAGCTGAGCATGGCTGGCGGGGGGCCAGTATGCCTGCCAACAGCTGGCGCTGCTGCCAGGCAGCCGGGTAATCATGTTAGCCAGCGGAAATTGGTCCAGGGAGTTTTTTCTTCCTTCACCTCCCGTTTTCTTTCTCTTCCCTTCCCCCTTGGAGCTGCAAGACTCAGAAGATTGATCTTCGCCTGAAACGGAGGAGATAACTCGATATAATGAACTCCACTGTCCCTCTTGCTGTTTGGAGCTTTTAAAAAATTTAACAGGGCTGGGGACAAAAGGGGGGAGGAAGCTGTTCTCAGGGCTCTCTGGAAGCCCCCTTGTCCTGCTCTTGGCCCCTCTCCAGTTCAGCATCTGGATCCTATCCTTGCTGCCCCCTGGGATGTCTTCAAAGAACAAGGTTAAAAATATCCCCTTTCTCTTAAAGGTTTGAACAATAATTTTGGTGAGGTCAGGGATGAGCCCCCAATGGTCCTACTTCCACAGCTCCCAGCCTCCTGGCTATCCTCATTCCCCAGAGTCACCAGCCTTCCTGGGGGGGGGGTGGGCAGTGACAGGTTCTCAAATGGCTACTCTCCAGCAGGCCACCTGCCCACTGAGGCACTGCTGTGGGGGCTTTTGTTCCTGCAAACAGCTCTTTGAAAAGCCACCTAATGACACAAAGGAGTCCAGCTCATTGCACCTAGGCACTGTGCCCACCTCACTGGGGTCTCCTTAGCTATCAGTCCCACCTCTTCCTGCCTGGCAACCCTAAGCTGGTGTCTTACACATATTCACATAACTGTTTACTGAGCACCCACTCTATGCCAAGCACTGGACCAGAAGCCAGGACCACCAACCTCTGTGACTCCTGACCTAGTGATAGGGGCAGTCATCAATGACCACACAGGTAGGGGGCACACTGGGACAAGAGCTTTCAAGGAAAGGCTAGGGGGCCCTCAGAGCTTGGACAGTGGTCAAAGAGGGCTTCCTTGAAGTATCCTTGAAGAAGACCAAAGGACAACGACACTACCAGGCTGAGGAGGGAGAAAAAGCACTCTAGTCGGTGGGGCCTCTCCCTTGGTGCTCTCTACCTGCAGAGGGAGACCAGATCCACAGGTTACTTACCTAGGCCTCTCCTCACCTGCCCTCTGCCCACCAGACCCTGTCAAACCCAGCGCCCCTTCAAGGAGCAGTTCAGTGCTGCCTTGATGGCCCTTGGATCAATGGGGGCCTAGAAACGTCTCTGGATTTTTCATCCTCTGCTCTTGGACCCTGAGGACCAATCCTACCCTGACACTCTGGATGAAAGGGATCCAAAGGGCTGTGGGCCCAGGAAGGTCACCAACTGCCCTTCCTAGATGTCCTGAACTCTAGCCCCAGCTTCTCCACAAACAGCTAAGGATGCAATGCTGGCCACCCAGGAGAGCTGCAACCTGTACTCTCCCCAGGGCCTCCTACTGGCAGTAAGAAACCAAACAGCCTGACCTTGTGGTTCTGCAGCCAAGTACCTTCCCACCTCAGCTTCCCTCTGCAGCCCCCTGGGGACTGTGGGCATCAGGGAGGGTTGGAGGTGCAGAAAGCTCAGTGCAATCAGCTCGATGTGACAGGCAACCCCTTGCTTCTAGAAGCAGCCTCCACACAGACCTGGAAAGTTGACCCAGAGTGCCAAGACCTCAGCCAAAACAGATTAAGACGGAGGAGCCCAAAGGAGGCAGGTGTTCAGAGGAGGCAAGAGAGCTGATGGGGCAGAGGTAGAAAGTGGCTTGGGCCTTATACCAAGCAGAAGGTGATGGGGAGTTGGCATAGCTGCACAGCACCCCAAGGGAGGGGTAGGGCCTTCAGTCAGTCCATTTCAAGATGGCAAAGCTAGGCAGAGGAGCTGCTGCAAGGAAGCTAACCAACCCAGCTGAGCCGTTACACCAGCTTAGAGAAGGTCAGGTGCTGCTGAGGACGCGAGTAGGCTGGGCACGCTTTGAGAAGCCTCTGAGAAGGGAGGAAGCCCAGGCTCTCCACTCAGCTTCCTGCAGCCCAGTCACAGTCTATCAGCGAACTTCCCCCTTGGCCTCAGAGAGGCAGAGAGCAGACAGCCTTACAGAGGGCTGTCAGGGGGCCCACCTGCCCCCTTAGCAGCTTTCTGAGGTGGGCATCTGCGT